TCGTGCCCCGCCTGCGCCCCGCCCGCGCCCCGCTCCCCGGCCAGCGCGGGGAAGCCCTCGTCCGGGGGCCCGGCGCCCGGCGCGTTCGCGTTCTCGGCCGCGGGCAGCACCGGCAGGCTCTGCGGGGCGGGCGCCGGCGGCGGCGGCGGCGGCGGCTGCTGCGGGGCGGGCGGCGGGTTCTTCACCAGCAGCAGGCTGTCACCTGCGGGGGAGGAGACACGGAGACGTGACGGGCTGGACAGCGCTCGCTCCGAGCTCGCACCACCACCACCCGCCCCCACCGTCCCCCGGAGAGGGGCCCGGGGCCTTAACCGACTCCCCCCGTGGCTTGGTGCGAGTCGCAGGCGATCTGGACCTCAGTTTCTTGGAAAAGTGAGGGCCCTGAGCAAGGCCGGCGGCCACGTTCCCTATAGCTCTGGGGCTCCCTGACCCTCGACCTGTCCCAAGCCACCTGGGGGAGAGCACCGGAAGTGCGTGGAGCAGGAAGCAAGTAGTTAGTAACGAGAGGAAACGCCTCCGGAAAGCAGGGGCGGGGCCTGGGGGCCTGGGGGTGGAGCTGTTTGGAAGTCACTCGGAAGGCAGAACTGGCAGGAAATAATGAGACTTAATTGCATTCTGATGTTCAATGCTAATTTATCTAAGGCGAATTTCTCACTGGGAGGAAAGAATGTACTAGAACGTATCCAAGGTGAAAGCCAGACAGGAGGCCCACGGAAACGAAACGCAAGGAGCGGGGACCAAAACCATGCGGCGTTTTTCAGTCCCGTTTCCTCTAAGCAAGTGGCCTTCAGACTCGAACAGCTGCCGGGTCCCAGGTCCACCCTGGCGTCTGGCCCCATCTGCGCCCTGACCACTGTGCCCACTGTAGTTAGGGGTCCTCTCACCCCTTCACCTCCACCACCCCACGTCCACCTCACGCCGTTCTCAGTCCTCTCTCCCTGGAGGAGCCCCTCCTCCACTGAGGGCAGCTGGTAGAAGAACAGTAAAGAAGCCTGTGCCCCCACCTCCTGGCATCCTCCGCCCAGGTCCCATCTGCTCCCTGGAGGCCATTTCCTGGCCACATCTGCCCCACTTCCACCCCTGCTCATTGGTGTCTGCCTGAGGCCCATCCTCCTTACGTGACACCCCTAAGCACACAGGGCCCAGCCTGCCCTTTCCGTCCCCATCAAAACTGAGCAGGCAGAGAACCTTCTCCACAGGACATGGGCCAACAGCAGAGGCTGAAGAAACTCTCCTGACCTTGACCCCAGGTGCCAGGCCTTCCATCCTGGGGGGCTGACTCTGGGCATCGTCTGTCCCTCCACACAATCTGCTACTCACTCCTTCATAGGCCATATTCTCAGGAGGACCCCAAGGAAACCACACGCATGGGAGCCTCCATATCAGGGGCTGTTCCCCGGGAACCCAGCCTGAACCGGTCCTGTTCCTACCCTGATGAGGCTTCAGACTCTGTGTGCATGTCAATCCGCTTCTCTCACCCTCTGATCTCCCTTCCTGACCCACTGTGACTCCCGTGGTCAGCACTGGGGTCACTCGCCATGACACGCCCCTTATGCCTCTGCTCCTGTCCCCTCTGCCCTGCTCGCCTGGGGACCCCCAACCGTACTCAAGCAGCTGAAGACAGCGGGAGAAAACTGCACAAATCTCAAACCATCCCACCCCCCTCAGCCAGGCACCCTGCTACACTCCTCAGCGTGCCCTACTTCTCCATCCTCTGTGAGGGTGTCGTCACACCTTCTCCTCCAGCCTCTAACGTGAGCACTTTTACCCGGGACGTCACTGGCCGGGAACTGATTCAGACGTAAGCACATGGCCTCGTTCTGGCTGATGACATGTGAGGAGGGGGCTTCTGGGAATTTCCTCAACTCCTTAGCGGGTAGGAAGAAGGATGACCCTTCTTTTCCCTCTGGTCTAGAGGCGATTGCTTGGAACAGCTGCCGCCATCTTGCTCCAGCCATACTAAGGAAGCGGAGCAGGGAGCTGGAAAGAACCTGGGTCCCAGATGACCTCGCCTCACCCTTGAATCAACTGAGGCAGAAACTGAACTGCCTCTTAGCTCTATAGGAGAAGAGATGTCTTTGTTCCTCAAGGTAGTCCGGCTCAGGGTTCTAAAACTAATGGAGCGCACCCTACTGGACACAGGGGTCCAGTGATCTCCCAACTTAAAAGAACTCTCTCCCTGGACCCCACGTGCTCCCAGGCTCCAGCCACCGTCTCTCCTCATGTCTGACCTCATCTCTGCTCCTTTTCAGACCAATATTCCTGATGAGTTCTCTACCCTTGCTTTTACCGTTTGCTCTGGAACTCCTGGGAGTCCGGCAAGTGTCCCAGCACACCACTGAAATAACTTTTGTCAAGGTCATCAACAGCCTCCAGCCTGCCAAATCAATCCGACTGCCTCTTCCGCACATTCATCCTAACCCGTCACTGGGTTTGAGCTAGTTGACCCGTCCCTCTCTCGAGAGTCTCTTCTCTTAGCCTGCGTGATGCCAGGCTCCTCTGGATTTCCTCCAGGCTCACACCTGCTCCTCTTTCATTCTTTGTCTACATTCTCCCTAGGTCACAGAGAGGCCCCGGCCTTAAAACAGCCTCTGTGTAATAATTTAACAGGCCTTTGTCCTTGGTTCCTAGGAGATAGCCTCTAAATCCTTGGAATTTCCAGGGTGAGAGGAGTGTCTTTGTTATTCACGGTGGGCTCCGATGTTTTATGCTCACAGAGTAATTCATGGTAAGTGCCCAAACAGTTTAAGCTAAAGGGAGGACCCTGATGGGGGCTGGGTATGCCAGAAGGACCATCCACAGACAGGATTAGAGGGCTGGGGCTTTGAGCCCAACCTCTGGAGAGCGGACAGGCTAGAGAACAGCTCATCTCAAGGCTGGTAGTTTAATCAGTAAGTATGTAAAGAAACTCCAGTAAGAACTCCAGACACAGAAGTGAGCTCTCTCATGGCCAGTACTCTGCATAGGGTCACCCATCACTGTGCTGGGGCAGTGACACTTCCTGATCACACACGGAGCAGACAACAGAGGCTTGTTTTAGGACCCCCTCCAGAATTAGTCCTATGGATCTCCCCTTTCGGCTAGTTCTGATTTGAATCCTTTTGCTCTAATAAAACTAATGATGAGTGTAGCAGCTTTCCTGAGTCCTGTGAGCTGTTCTAGTCAAATGCTAAAGCTAGGGGGTTAATAGGAACCCCTGCATTTATAGGGCTGGGCGGAAGTGAGTGGGCTGGGGACCCTCGAACTGGCAGTTGGTGTTTGAAGCAAGAACGGTCTTGTCAACTTCACCTACAAAGTTTGCTCTAATTCCGGGTAGTTGCTATAGAAATCACTGCAGGTTACAACGCCCAAAGTCATCTAGCCCCGCGCTCTCTCTTAAACGTTCATCTGCCTACCAGGATGCCATCTCAGATCAAACAGACCCAAAGCAGAGCACTGGGTTTACTCGGTAAACCGTCTCCTTCCCAGCACTCACCAAGTCATTAAAGGGCGCTGCTGCCTCCTGGTTCTTCAGGGCCCAACCCTGGGTGTCACTCCTGACCGCTCACCCACCACACACAACCGCTTAGCAACGCGTCTGGAGTCTGTCCTGAATCCGTCCACTTCTCTCCCAGCGCACTGCCCCCATCCCAACTCTGAGCAACGGTCATCTCCTCATCTGCTTTGTGCCAACCACATTATCCTCCTAAATGGCTTCTCTGCTTCTGGCTCATGGTCCCCTCCCAACTCCAGTCTGTTCCTGACCTTGTCTTTTTAAAATGTAAACTAGGGGGCACCTGGGTGGCTCAGTTGGTTTGGCATCTGACTCTTGATTTTGGATCAGGTCATGATCTCAGGGTCCTGGGATGGAGTCCCACATCCAGCTCCCTGCTCAGTGGGGAGACTGCTTCTCCCTCTCCCTCTGCCTCTCCCCACTGCTCGTGCTCTCTCGCTCTCCCTCTCAAATAAATGAATAAAATCTTAAAGAAAATATACATTCTTTAATAAAATTGAGGAATCCCTTTTACTAAAATGTAATGTCCAGTTAGGCCGAAGTCAAACAGGACATTAGGTCTTTATTGCAAATCCCCGGGCTGGGGAAGGAGTTTGATAGGGACGGGTACCCTATAGTTCCATGTTTTACTCGTGACTCCCACAACCCTCTCCCCTTCCAGCTCCTCTCCAGAATACACGATTCCATGTCTTTAAACCTCAAAGAAATCACAGGTGAGATAGTAATTTCATTAACAAGTAGAAGGTAGGGCGCCTGGGTGGCTCAGGGGGTTAGAGCCTCTGCCTTTGGCTCAAGTCATGATCCCAGGGTCCTGGGATCGAGCCCCGCATAGGGCTCTCTGCTCAGCAAGGAGTCTGCTTCCCCCTTCTCTCTCTGCCTGCCTCTCTGCCTACTTGTGATCTCTGTCTGTCAAATAAATAAATAAAATCTTAAAAAAAAAAAAAAAAAGTGGAAAGTAGGCCCACTTCGAGAGAAAGTCAAGAGGCTCTGGTGACTAGGCAGGTAGGAGAAGCATTTCCAGATGCTTCTGTTGCCCAAACTCTGGGCATTGCCCCTCCCCCACCAATGCTAAGGTTTGAAGGCCCTCCAGAGATAAAACATGAAGCAAATTGTTCTATAACTCAGCTAATCCAAACTGAGGCGGTAGAATGGTCTGGTCACTTGCAAAGTCTTGCACGCTCGGCATAGACTTCCCTAGATCCACCCCATGACCACACGGGTCTCCAAGAAAAGGCTCACCCAGGCCCATGCACCCCTAGCCAACTTGGACAAATCAGACGACAGCATTGAGGGACAAAGGTCTGGGCAGAATTCCTGGCAAGAGGTCGGATGAACTAGTACATACGCTTGCAAGGCCAGAAATAGTGGCCCGAGTACCAGCAAGAAAGAAGTGGAAATTGCTGTCACTTCTTCCTGTCCTCACAGACAGTGGCCGGGCTTCCCCGTCCCACCCCAGCCCAGCAGCAGGTTGGGAGAGGAACCGCTCTAAGTCGTATCTGAAACAAGGGCATAACACTGCTCCTCTCCGGCTCCCTGCCCACCCCTCCAGCCCCCGCCTGCCCTTCTCAGCTGGACTCAACTTCTCTCAGACACTGGGATCCACTCGCCTGACTTACAACGGCCTTCCCGGTCAGAAATAATCTATGTCCGGGAGCCTGGATGGCTCAGTTGGTTGAGCCACTGCTTTCAGCTCAGGTCATGATCCTAGAGTCCTGGGATCAAGTCCTGTATCAGGCTTCTCTTGCTCTGCAGGGAGCCTGCTTCTCCCCTCCCTCTGCCTCTCCCCCTGCTTGTGCACTCGCTTTCTCTCTCTCTCTCTCTCTGTGTCAAATAAATAAATAAAATCTTAAAAAAAAAAAAAAAGAATCTATGTCCTCAGCTCTTCCCTCGCTTTTAAGCTCCTGGGGGTGTCAGGGGCGAGCACGAGGAATGCACTGTTTGGCTACTCCAGCGCTCTGACCAGCAGACGCTAAGTCAGCTATCTTGAAAACAAGGCGATGGTCGCGGTTCTGGCAAGGAACGCCAGCCAGACACCAAGAGTGTTCAATAATCCACGAACATGTGCCCAAGTCACTGGCCAATAAGTGGAATTTCAAAAAAAAGACCCAGGAAGCCCAAGTCAGGTGAGACGTTTGGTTCCATACCTGTGTGGATTAAAAAAAACAACAATCCCCTCCCCAAAGCCGACTTCGGTCTCTTCGTCAGTTACTGTGGGGAACCCGCTCAGGGCTGGCTGGGGGCTCTGGTCAGTGTTTTCCGGTGCCTGAGCCACCTGCCCCCATCACTGCCTGCTCCCGTGCCAGCGGGTCAGTCCCCTCCCAGCCTACCCTTCTCTCCCTGCTCTTAGGGCCCCGCTATGTCCCTCCAAAAGCTGTGCTGAAATCCAAACCCCATGACTGCAGAAAGTGACCTTCTTTGGAAAGGGGCTCTCTGCAGAGGTAATTAGTGAAGATGAGGTCATACTGGAGTGGCGAGTGGGGGGAGGCCCTGATCCAGTCTGACTTACGTCTTTAAAGGAAGCCAGCCAGGTGAGGACACAGACACGCAGGCAGAACGCCACGGGGGGCAAAGGCAGAGACGAGTGACACATCTACAAGCCAAGGGAACACTAACTATTGCCACAACGGCAGAAGCCAGGGATAGGCAAGAGAGGGTTCCCCGATGGCTTTCGGAGGGGGCATGCCCCTGTCGACCCCTTGACTATGGACTTCTGGCCTCCAGAGCCCGAACAGACAACACATTTCTCTTGTTTTAAGCCACCCAGTTTGTAGTACGTTGTTAAGACAGGACAGAAACACAGCTGCCATCCTCCAAAAGGAAAGGGGATAGCGCTTCGATGGAGATGGGGGGAACGCTGCCACGACAGGACATCACCTCTGGGGGGGAGGGGGAGGCGGAGGCAAGCCACCATCCCTGTGGACGAAAGACCCAGGGGCTCCAAGCCGGGGGGTGCGTTACTCACTGGGACCAGAATCTAATCCGAGCTCTCCTTCCATCGAGTCGCGCGGGCCCCACGGGTACGGCTGCTCCTCCTGCTTGATCCACGACAGAATGTCATGCGCTGAGATCAGAGACTCTGCGGATGGAGAGAAGGCAGTCTGAGCCCTGTTCCCTTCCACCAAGCCTCCCCTCACAGGGGAGAGAACCGCCACGTGCAGAGGCCACGGCCGGCGCTCGCAGGACACGTGGCAGCTGTGGTTTGTTTCATACTGGCCGTCCTCACCCTCCCAGCTGCCCTTGGACATGGCGTCTCGCTTGTGCTCGCTCCTTCTGCAGCTGGCCTGGGAGGAGGAGGCCCGGCCCGAAGTCTGCACAGACGCAGATCGGAACCTGCATCTTCCAGCTCTGTCCACGGAGCCCCAGAGCAAACCGTGGGTCCAGTACAGGACCGAGGGCTAAGCAGTAGGACTTCAGAACCAGCAGTGGGAGAAGCAGTGAACCAAGGTCTCTGGAGAACGGAGGTATGGACTGCTGACTCTACCAGGAAGGGCTGGCTTTGCCACCTGGCCGGGAGCCCTTCAGCTTCTCCACTGTGAAGTTGTACAGTGGAAACAACAAGGAACACTAGGTTTTATGTCTGCTCTTCTCTCCCTGATAGGTGGGGGAGGATGAGACTCTGGGATCATAACCAAACAAGAGGACACTGGACTTCTCTAGCTGTGAAATACAGGCGTGCATGCGTACATGCACACACACACACACACACACACACACACAGGCCGCAGAAAACAGATCTTCTTTATTGTTCTATATGCCTGGACCCTACCCAGAAGTTTCTTGGAAGACATTTATTTAACTAGTGTTCACCCACAAAAACTTGCAGAAAATGTAAATTTCTTTCTTTCTGTCACAAAAATATACACAACTTTTAAAAGCTTTTCAGGTTATACTTACTGTTCTAAAACTGCCACTGCAGAAATAATTTTAGTTTTGGTTACGCTGACACAATAGATGATCCATTTAATGATTCGTTTCGAAAAGCCCTCTGCACTTTACCAATGGTTATATTCCAAAATCTGCTACCAGAGGAATACACAGCATTTTATTCTCTGAGCCTTTCATTGGCCTTAACCAGAAGTGATCAGATTGATTTCCCGGGACACAAAACTCAGTAAGAATCTCCTTGTCCTTGATATCATCCTGGTATCTTGCTCACCTGAATTGGGGTCTGTTGGGATATCTCTCTCCGCCAGATCCTGCTGATCCCACACGCATGGGTGCTCCTCCTGTTTAATCCGGGACAAGAGGTCCTGGGCAGAGGCCGGTGAGTCTGCGGGAAGAGAGCAAAGGACGTGTCGGGGGACACGACAAGCCTGCCAGTTTGTGTGCTGGGTAAATCTCTCATTTCCTGCAATTACTTCTTTTCCCTAAAATTCAGTCATAATTAAAGGATGCTAATTAATTAAAAGCTTAAGTCGGCCTGGCCCCAATTAATGGAGCTTTTGCTGCCAATAAGGGTATCCTACAGGGGAGCCCATTCCTGCGGACTCCAGGCCTTACACCGACACTCAGCTTGAAAGCAGAGCACCAGCACGGACACGGGCGTTCCTAAGGGGATTTTCCAGGAAAATGATGCCTTCCAGGAAGACATTTAGATCCAACGTTTTGTTGGGATTTTTCTTTCTTTTTCTATTTATGTACTTATTTTAGAGAGAGACAGAGAGTGATCACGTGAGCAGGGGAGAGGGACAGAGAGTCTCAAGCAGACTTCGTGCTGAACACAGAGACCCATGCGGGGCTTGATCTCACGACCCTGAGATCATGACCTGAGTTGAAACCAAGGGTCATACGTTTAACTGACTGCATTGCCCAGGCGCTCCCTTATTGGGATTTTTCTAAGATGTATCCTACGTCTTCTTTCTTCTGCGGTCTGTTAAACCTCATTTAACTTTATTGCCTTCTTATCTCTTCCAGATTTCTTTGAAAAGACTAATACTGGGCCGCTGTCCAGGGGCAGCCTGAGGGAAAGGGACTGGCTTTTCCCCAACTCGGACGCCACTATCACTTACGTGGGGGGGTGGTGAGGCTCTGACCAAGGGGGTGCTGAGGTTTGTGGGGTTCCAACCTGTGGATAAGTATGTTACGAGATCTTGTGATGGATAATTTTGTGACAGCCAGGGCACAGTACCCACATAGTTGCACAGACATTATTCCTTCCATTTTTTTTTTTTAAAGATTTTATTTATTTGTCAGACAGAGAGTGAGAGCACAAGCAGGGGGTACAGGGGGCAGAAGGAGAAGCAGACTTCCTGCTGAGCAGGGAGCCCGATTCGGGGCTTGATCCCAGGACCCTGGAATCATGCCTTCATGCTGAAGGCAGACGCGTAACCGACTGAGCTACCCAGGCACCCCCAGACATTATTCTAGATATTTCTGTAAATGGAGTTTTAGTTTTGTTTTGTGTGTGTGGGGTTTTTTTTTTTTTTTTAGAGAAGATTAATATTTCAATCAGTAACCCCTGTCTTCCATAATGGTTGGGGGAGCTCTTCCCAATAGGTGAAGGCTTCCACAGAAAACGATGGCTCAGTCCAAGGATGAAGGAGTCCGGGCAGAAGACTGTCCTGGGTCTCCAGACCACAGACTGTGGACATGGCAGCCTCTACAGTCCCTGAAGCCAGTTCCTTAAAATCAGTCTATCTGTCTCTCTCTCTCCACACGCAGACACACCCACACACACCCTGTGGAGTTTCTCTGGAGCATTCTAACACACATAAGCTCTCAGAGGCTTCTCACAGAGTCCAGCTGGAACGTCATGTAAGAAGAACCCTCCAGCCTACCCCATGGGCGCAGAGGCAATAACCCATAAATACTTGATGAAGACAACGAAAGCCCTTCCCAGTCAGGAGCAGGTGCTGCGGACGGACGGATATATTCCCCGACCACAGTGTCTATCACTCATTGTTACACTTAGTACTTCTGCCCTGATGCTCCTCTTCAAGGAGAGAAACAGTTAAAAACCGATACAAAAAAAGAGAGAGGAAACAGGACGAGCTAAGCCCAGATGGGCTGTTGGTGCCCCACGGGAAATCCCGTCTCTCGGCCCATCCCAGACCCCACTCCTCCACTTCTGGCTCTGGCCTCTGGTTGGCCACACGCAGCGGACGATGGCGGGGGCCTGCAGACCTGCTGGCCCTTTCCACTCCCTCCCTGGCTCGGGCAGCCGCTGGGCCCACTCACCAGTAATGGACTCTGTGGGGATGGCTCTTTCCTCCAGGCCCCGCTGCCCCCGGACACACAGTGCTTCCTCCCGCTTCACCTGCGAGGACGAATCCTGGGCAGGCACCAGCGGCTCTGCTCCTGGGGCGAGAGAAGCATGTCATTTAGTGTATTTTTTTGAACTGTCCTCACCCAGATGTTCTTGGTGTCAGGAATGCAGGCGACGGCACTCGTCAGCATGGGGGGCCTCAGGTTCCCGCGGACAACTGCGGGGAACCCCAAGAAGCAGAAGGTCTCGGGAGCAGAGAAATAATCAGTATTCAGGACGAAGGGGTAGGCCAAGCCACAGGATGAGATGTAGTAAGGCCGGGAGAGAGTTCCAGAGAACGGCCCTACCTGGGTTTTGGGTTCATCAGGACAAGGCCAGAAGTTTGACCTCTGGGTACAGAGGCTCCTTTTCGTTTTTCACCCCAATCAGAGAGAGGCGGCCACACACACACACACACACACACACACACACACACACACACACAATCACTAGCAAGCCTTCCGCCCGGCCACCTCCGCGTGGATGACACACAGCGCCCTCACACACACGAGACAATGACACATCCTCTCTGTAGACCCCAAGGTGTGACAAACGGGGTGTGTCCTTCTGATGTTCCATGATGCAAGGTACGACCCCTGAGAGCAGGTAGCTCAGGTCGGGGGCAAGATCAGAGGAAAAACCGGAAGACCTGAGTCCTGGTTTCCACTGTGCCCCCAGCCCAGCAGGGGAGGCAGCCGACCTCTCTGGCTCAAGGCCTGCTCGTTCCACCTACAACACGGGCACAGCAGTCACCATCTCAGCTCATGCACGGGGATGGATGACAAGGTGACCCTGCTGAGCGCCAGGGCCCTGCTGAGCTCAGCACCTGCAGTGCTGGAAAATGGGGCGCAGGGCGTTCAGATGAACTGTTTGCAACAGGCCAGTGCACAGAGACAGAGTCGATCAGTGGTGGCCGGGGGCTGGGGGCTGGGGGCTGGGGGCCGGGGGAACGTGGGAGTGACTGCTCATGGGTTCAGGTTTCCCATAATGAAGAGGTTCTGTGCTGGCTACACAACTTTGTGAACCCCTGGATTATACACTTTTAAGGGGTGACTTTATTTATGGCACATGGATTATATCCCAAGGAGGAGAACAACTGGAAAGGAGGGGGCTTCCTCCGAGCGACCTTCTAAGGGACCTTCCTAAAGAAGGGCAGAGTCTGTATGATAAGGCAGAGAACACGGCGCAGGCTCAGCTGTGCCCGGGGCAGCCCCACTCCGGAGAGCAGAGGCCCTGACGAAAGGCCTCTGGGGCACAGCCAGGACCAGAGCCCTGGCACCTTCCATCTCGGTGAGAGCTGACCAGGGGCGGCGCTGTCTGGAATAAGGTCTCCTCCTCCCTGGACCTGGGGCTCTTGTCAGCTGCCATCACCTGCGTCTGGGTCCATTAGGATTTCTCTCTCTTCTGGGTCACGCTGCTCCCACACGCAAGGCTCTTCCCTGGGCTCCACCTGCGATGGGGCATCCGGCTTGGGCACTGCACCCTCCGTGTCTGGAATGAGCGGGAGGGGAAGGAAGGACATGGTGAAGTTGACCCGTGGACCCCGATCAAGGGCGGCGGCAGAAGTCTCCCCACTCCAGAGCCCCTCCCCCGCCAAGAGCCCCTCTAGGTGGTACCCTCACCTACGTCAGCTAATCTCTTGGGAGGAACCCTGAAAACAAGGCACCAGATTCCAAGTTCTGGTGCAGAAACAGCTGGACCCCGGCAGCCAGCCACAGACCGGCTGTGGCTCGTGCAAGGCTATGGGGAGGCAGCTCATGGTCACGTGCCTATGACGCGGTCTGGCCATATTCCAGAATGAAAGCAGCTCAATGCTAAAGTGACAGGCCCTGTTACTGGGTTTCTAACTGTCCTCTGGTTATACTCGTTCTATCTCTATGGCCTCATGAGCAGACAGTCACTCACATCTCCAGCAGGGATGAACGTGAACGCTTTGCCCACCTCTGACAACCATTCCACTGCGCTCTGCCCAGACTGCTTGCCCCGGAGGAGGGAAGGAGCTCTTACCCAGGGACATCAGGGTTTTATAGTTCTCCTTAACGAGGTTGTTGTAAAGCTCCTTCTGCCACTCGTCCAAGTTCTTCCACTCATCCTCAGAGAAGTAAACGGCGATGTCGACAAACGTCACAGGAACCTTGGCCAAAAGGAGTCTTAGTCTGACACCTGCTGCCCCCCCTCCATCAGCCACGGGGCCCCTTCCACCCCAGAGCCCGCTTCTGCTCACCCTGGCTCCCCATCCCCCAAATCCCAGCCCGGTCCCCTGGAGTGGAGTCAGCCCAACCTATTCTGGATCTTCTCATGCTCCCAAAACAAAGATGGTCAACACTGCCTTTTCTTTGCTTTTTTTTTTTTTTTTTTAAGGAATTTCACCATATCCTCTGTAATTTCACTTTCAGGGGAACTGGGTCCCTGAAGGTAAAGCCAAAGTCAATGCTGCTTTTGGCACTCAGGGTGAGAGCAGTGTGGAAGGTTCTGGGCAAGGGGACCAGTGAGCCGAGAGCAGTAAAACCCTGTTAGGAAACCTGTCTTTCCAGTCAGGTTACTACCTCAGCAAGGTACGCAGTTACATTTTTGTCATTAAAAACATGTAAATCTAAGGGCAGGCGCTGAAGCTCCAGGACCACGTTCTGTTTCGTTCATGGCGACATCCCAAGCCTCTAGAAGCAGAGTCTGGAGCCAGCAAATATTTGTTGACTATGTCGAGCGGCTGTTGCCAACACGAGGAAGAGCCCCCCGGCAGCCTGAGTCATCCGTCCCAGATGCCGGGCCCCTGTTCATCCAGGCAGTCTCGTCTGTTCCATGAGACTGTTACTCTGGTTTGACAAGGATCCTCGTCTGGACTCATCTCAGACGCTCACCAGTGTGGCCTCGCCTTGGTCCCCATCGTTCAAAAGGGTTTCACTTCACGACTTTAACGTCTGAACTTCCCTTCTGGGACACGTAGCCCTGCCCCCTCCCACCCCCCCCCCCCCACCCCCACAGGACCAGTCTTCCACTCACACTGGGAAATCCAACCCCCCCCCCTTCTCTCCGGCCCTAATTTGAGTCCACTGGTCTTCACACCTGCACACAGGGCCAAAGTTAGCCCAAGTGGCACCTCTGTCCCCATCAGGAAAGGACAGCCTTCTGGGCTCCAGGCCCTCTGGTGTCCAGCTCGGTGAGTGGGTGGCACCTTCCCATGAATTAGAAATGTCTGTTCTCACATCAGGTGCCCATAACCCCACGGGTATCCTGTGCGGGTGTGGTGGGCACACGTGTGTCACCTACTACTGATAGCTCACCCACCACCCAGCTTTAGAGACACAACACAACTTTTCATTTCCTGGATCTTCCACCAGACTGGGGCATATCCCCAAGCCGCGAAAATGGATACAGACCACCTTCTTCATTTTCATTTCCTGCCCCTAGAAAAAGTCATGGAATTCTGCAAGCGACACCCATCATACATTCACGCCACTCGTCCCAAGGCTGCTTCGGAAGCCTCTGGGGATCTTGCGGACGTCTCCTCTGCTCCCTGGGAGGCTTCTTTCCAACTCTTCTTTTCAACTCTTCAACTTTTCAACTCTTCTCGCCAGCCACCCCGCCCCTCCCTCACCTTCCCCATCCAGGAGCCTGATCCCAGGTGGCTGCTGCAAGCTCCCTTCTCACCAAGCCAACCCCCTGCTAATGTGCCCTTCATTTCTCCTCCAGCACCTGCCTGTGGAACTGAAACACTCAAACTTTTCTCTTTGACATCTCAGGCTCTCCCTCCCCAATGGCTTTCCCTTGCAAGTCACCCAAACTAAGACGAACCACCTGCCACTCAACCCCACTGTCTCAAGCAAACTCTACTCTGCCTCTTCACTTGAAACACCCCAAGAGACACGTTTTGTACTTCCTTCTTCACAATCCATGCATCCTTTCCCACCTTAAAATCTGTCCGTGAACCAACCCCCATGCTCTGAAACCACACCCTGGAAGGCCACCAGTAGCCATTGTTAACCTTTACCCTTTCAGATCGCCTTTCTGGAATCCACTCTTGCCTGGTTTCCCCGACTATGCTTCCTCCTGCCCACCCAGCTTACTGCCTTCTCCTCCTCCCCCAACCCCCTGTCTCTGCCCTTCCCCGTCCCTCTGCTTTCTCCTCGGCAAGCTCGTTCTTCGCACAACTCCCGTGGTTACCTCTTTGACAACAATACTCTTCTGTTTTCCTTGCTCCCTTTCGGGTTCAGATTTCAAGGGCCCTCTGAGCGGCTCCATTTAATCATCTCTGAAGTACCTCAACTAAATGTCTCCAACACCAAGTTCATCATCTTTTCCAACATGCCAACCCCTCTGCGTCACCCCACCATTTCTATGAAGTGTCACAATTCTGGAATCAGAGTCGCACAGTTGGAAAGAGACATCAGGACATAAAACCTCCCTGGGCCAGGATACAGCAGAAGTCTGTCTGGCCAGAGACAGCAGGGAGCCTACCCATGAGTTATCTGTCAGCCAATTAACAGACATACTAGAATCCAAAAGGCGCGCGGGATCTGAGAGACAACAGCCTTCCCTGAATCCCACAAAGAGAACACACTTAGCGTGGCTGACAGTACACAGTGAATTATAACTATTATTAGTAACATTAACTAACTCTTCTGTGTTGCATGAAGCTGGTGGGTTTTAAAATACATCCACAAATTCTTCAGCAGTCCCTTCAAAAAGGAGAGCCCAGTGTTCCTCCCCTCGAGTGTGGGCAGGATTTAGTGACTTGCTTCTAACAAACAGTGATGTGTACAATTTCTGAGACTAGGTCATAAAAGACAGGACAGCTCCATCCGGGTCTCTCTCTTGGCTCACCCACTCTGGGCAGAGCCAGCTGCCATGTTGTAAGGACACTCAAGCAGCCATGTTGGAATGTCCACACAGTGAGGACCTGAGGCTTTGCCAATGGCCAAGCGAGTGGGCCGTCCTTGAGGCAGAGCCTCAAGCCTCAGCCAAGCCTTCAGATGACCACAAACTCAGTCAACAGCTTCATTACAACTTCATGACACTCTGAGCCAGAATCATTGAGCCAAGCTGCTCCTGAATTCCTAACCCACAGAAAATGCAAAATGGCAAATAATTATATTTTTAGGCTCCAAGTTTTGGGGTAATTTGTTACTCAGCAATAGAAAACTAAGACAACAGTCTACATGGTTTTGCCCATCAACAAAATCAGTGACTCCTCACAACCCGGGTCATAAATGTGTTCTCATCTTCGTCTTACAGATGAGAACACTGAAACTCAGAGTGCCCAGCCGGGTATTTACTGATGAAATTATGTACTTAACACTTCACTTCTTCAAAAAAATATGGAGACCTAGAAGACCCAGTCTCTCACGTGGAAGCCTGAGCTCTCCCGCTGGACAGAGTCACACGGCAAACACTTTCGGGATACCGACCGAAGCCAGTGCAGTTACAGGCAAGGAGACACAGTGGTGAACCAAGCAGAAATTACATTCCGGTCAGGGAAGACCAACCAAGAAGACAAAAAAAGAAGTAAATAAGGTGCTCGATGGCACAGCGCTTTGGAGAAAATGGGAGCAGGGACAGGGAAAGTGGGTGCTAGGATTGGGGGGACATGGTTCTTTGGTGTTGGGGGGCCCACGGAAGGGCAGACCCCTGACGGAAGCGACGGGCAGGGAGCTTTCCCATGGAGGGAAGTCCTGAGGTCAGACTGTGTGGGTGGAAAGGAGTGGACAAGAGGGGCAGAGGGGAGATGAGGTCAGAAAGGTGGGGCCGGACAGGGGGCCCCTGATGGAATGGGGGCTTTTAAGCTGCATGAGGTGGGAAGCCAGTTGGGGGTTTAAGCAGCGGTAACTGATTTATATTTTTAAAGGATCACTCTCGCTGCTCTGCTGGGAGCAGATTGTATAGGGGAAGGGACAAGGATGGAGACAAGGAGACCAGGCAGGAGGCCATGGCAACTCTCAGAGGCGAGGTGACGGTGGCTTTCCCCAGACAATGGTGGGAGCCATGAAGGTGGAAAGGAGTGGTCAGCCTGGTGATGGTATTTTGAAGAAAAGTCAGACGGCATTTACGAATACATCAGAAGGAGGGTTGAGAAAGAGAAGCAAACATGACCCCAGAGTTTTTGGCTCAAGCCACTGGAAGGGCAGAGCTATTTTCATGGAGACGAAGATGGGGCAGAAGAGGTTTCAGGCAGGAGACGGGAGTTTAGCTTAGTTGTGTTAAACCTAAGACATTTCCTGAGTCCTGCTGCAGTAGCAGGTAAGCACGTGCATCTGGCTTTCAAGAAGGAAGTCTGGGCAAGAGACGGGGAGAGAGTGGGCGGGGGAGACCGCCTTTGGCAGCCGACAGCACCCACGCTGCACTTAAAACCTGAAACTGAGCGAAATCATGAGGGAGGGAATAGAGATAATGAGCCAAAGGCCAACAACACCCAGCCCTGGACCACCCCAAACCTAAGAGGTCAGGAAGAGGTGGGGAAGCCCGTGAAGGAGACTGAGCAGGAGCCACCAGGAGATAGGAACAGAATCAAGAGAGGTCACCTGGAAGCCCCGGGAAAAGCTGTCTCAAGGAGGGGGCAGTAACCTGTGTGCAACGTCACCTCGAGGGCAGAGAAGATGATGGCAGAATGGACTGTGGGCATCAGGAGGATGGAGAGGTGGGAGCAGAAACCTGATGGGCAGAGGCTCCAGAATGATCCAATCACCACCTTACGGGGATACTGAGAATAGAGAAACATGCGCAATGAGACTGTGGAGGACGCAGCGTCAGAATCCGGATAATCGGAAACTCAAGGGGACGCGTGGCCTAGTATCATCTGCAGACGGATTTCAAGGAAAGATGACAGATGGAGGAGGAACCGAAAGATTTAACGAGACTTAAAAGACACAGCCCCTTCTTACGTTCTCATTCAAACAAACCGATAGAAAACAAATTAAACTGCATTTGGAAGAAAAGAACATTTGAACACTGACTGGATAGTTGAGTAGGTGGAGGCTTTTGTGGTGGCGGAAGTAACACTAGAGTCTTATTTCAGAAAAAGAGTCTCTACCTTTCAGAGCTACACACTGAAATATTACCAAAAAAACAAAAAACAAAAACAAAAACAAACCCAAAACCCAAAAACCTGATTCCTGAGATTGGCTTCAAAATAAAATAGGAGGGGAGGGGGGTCGGGAGAGAGGTGGGGTTATGGACATCGGGGAGGGTATGTGCTATGGTGAGTGCTGTGAAGTGTGTAAACCTGGTGATTCACAGACCTGTACCCCTGGGGCTAATAATACATTATATGATTATCAAAAAAATTTAAAAGTTGAAAAGAGAAAAATAGATAAATAAATAAATAAATAAAACAGGAGGGGATGTGGGTGGGGCCTTAGAGGAAACAAGACTGACGAGAGCTGACAGCTGTGGAGGCTGGATGATGGGCCCGTGATGGTTCCTCACACTATTCTGTGTACTTGTGTGCATGTTTGTTTTCTATAATAAAAAGGCTAAAAAGGGGAGGGAGAGAAGGGACCGGAGATAGTAAATACAATACGTTTAAGGAATTCTGCTTAAAGAGGAGTAGAGAAATGAGGCACTAACTGGAGGGAGAGGCAAGGCCTAGGGAGGTTTTCATCACAGAGACGGGTGACGTCTAGGACATCTAGAATGGCCAGCAGCGGGGAGAGTGGATGACACAGAGGAGAATGGGGAGAAGGTGAGTGGGTGGGGTGAATCAGTGAGGGGTGGAAGAGTGGGCCAGCAAGGCCGCAGGAACAGGGAAGCCAAAAGGCTCCAGGTGGCATCAGGTAGATGAGCATAGTGGCTGCTTCTTGGAGTGACTCTACATTCTCAGTACACCAGAAGGGTCATCGATGGACAGTGCAGTGTTGATGATCCAAGAGGTGGGGGGTGGGGGCGGGTGCAGTAGAGGGAATGGAAGGGGAAAGGGAACATGAATTCTGAGCTGCGAGAAAGCCCACAGAGGGGATGGTCACAACCTCCTAGCAACTCCTGTGAGCATAGTTTGTCTTAGCTGCATTCAAATGTGCACGTGCAAAGATAATCAACGACCAATTGTCCTCTGTGTGTGCCAAGTGGAAAACCCAAACATGAAGAGTGGCAGGAGTCTCCAGACAACCAGATACCTTGGGTTATTGGGAAAGGTGACAGGAAAGCCTGAGAGAAGCAGGCATAGTCTGTGGGGAACGGGTGGAGGGCAGCCTCACGGAGGCAGAACATTCGTGACTAAGTTAAGGAGAGGCGGGCTATAAGAGACACTGAAATCAGGGGTGCCTGGGTGGCTCAGTCGGTTGAGTGTCCAACTCTTGATTTTGGCTCAGGCCATGATCTTGGGGTCACGAGATCAAGCCTCACGTCCAGCTCCCTGCCCGCCCCTGCCCCCCCCCCAACACAAGAGGGAGCCACAAAGTGTTGTGAGAAGGACCAGCCGAATGAAACCAAGAGTTTTGCGCCGGTCCCCACTTCCATCTCCGCCCCTGGGGACCACCACATACCTTGGGCACCTCCCCCTTGCTGCCCGGGGGCAGCCTCAGGACCCAGAAATTTCGGTTCCTCAGCAGGTTCTCCATGTTCTCCAGCCGCCTCTGCAGCAGCCCGTACTCCTGCAGCAGGGTCCCCAGCACGGCCCACTTGCTCTCCATGTGGTTCCCGAACTCCACGGCCGTCTTCTCGCAGTCCGCCAGCTTCTTCTCGGCCGTCCCCGTCCGCCCCTCCAGATTTAGCAGCTGGCTGGCCTGGGCATCCACCTTCCTCTCCACAGCCTGAATGGCAGCCACCACAGTCCAGAGTGAGATCTCTGCCGTGGGCAGCTGGGGCTCTCGCATCATGCGGTCAGGGAAGACAGGTGCCCTATCCGGGAAGGGCGGGAACTGAAAAGGCATCGGTCGCCGAGCATCCATGTCCCACTCCTGAGCCTGTGTGCAGAGGGAGAAAGTGACAGCTTGGGCGGAGACCCTATGTGAGGCGGGGAGGGGAGCCTGAGAACAGAGAACAACGAATCAGATGCCACAGCTTCTCGCCCTTCTGCCATCCCCGCCCCCCAGGCTGGGGTGTTCATTCCTGTCCCCAGCAATAGCTCGACTAGTCCCCCAGTGAACCTTCCCATTTCCGGCCTGCAGGAGTTACGACGGTCACTGGTTTACCCACCTGACCCTTTGCAAGTCAAGGCTGTGGACCGCCACCCAGGATGTCACCTACCCCTTTCACAGCACAGCTTCTCTCTTCAGGGGCTAGGCCTGATGATGAACTCTCTCTAGAGTCGTCTAGTGCCTTCTGATTCAAAGTAAGAATTCCCCCGTTGAAGTCATCTGACCCTAATCTCCCTTGCCATCTCTAAGCAGGTTAGGGCAAGAATGATTATCTCTGCTTTAAAGATGATGGGATTGAGGCAGAGAGACAGCGATGGCCATTCCACCGCCCCTGGTTTCACTGCCAGCGGGTGGGGGGGGAAGCACGAGGTGTTATGGGTAACAAAAGCATGGTTCAGGTAAGCTGCTGCCCCCGTCCTGGCAGCTGCGACCAAGGGAGACCCCAGAGAGCCCACAAGAGTGAGCGGACGAGCAGCGTTTTTTCCATACCCAACTCCTGATTCACATTTTCTAAAATGAAAATAGGTTTGCTAAAAAACGTCACTCACTGAGGAGGAGAGGAGGGGACGTGCCTGTGAGGACTTACCAGGCCCCTTCCTACCCCTCGAAGCTGAGGCCCCATGAGTCCACGTAGGGAGCTGAGCTATGACCAAGAGAGGGTGGTCCCAGGTCACTGGTGACCTGGGAACTGGTCCCATACCGCACCAGGACCCAGGGCTTCCGGCCAACAGCAGGGCTGATAACCAACTCCCCTTGCCATGTGGGATGGGAGGGGGTGTCATTTTCTTTCCTCCCTGTTGCTGCTGATGAGGCCCTCCGGCTGGGCAAAGCGGAGGCCTGCTGCTGAGAGGTGATGTGGGCTGGCCAGGGACAGGCATGCCAACTGCCCTCTCCAACTCAGAGCAGCTGTGAGAGCCACAGAGGAACACCCCACAGCTCCCAGGGAGTCCACCCGAGACATGGGATAGAGGGGAGCAGGGCCCCGGGTGCCAGACCCTGCTAAGTGAAGAGGCGAAGTTTCCATCAAAGCCATCCATCTGGGCTCACGCAGGCCTCGCTCTTGCCGGCCCAGAGAAGGAGAAAAGGGCTGATGGTGGAAGTTCAGGGCGTCACCAGGCCCAGATGACTTTTGGAAGGTTCGGAGCCCTGAGACCAAAAAAACGATCCCACACAGCACAGCAACTCCTGGCTAACTGGTGACAGCCGGGTGGAGAAGCAGGCCCGGGCACGGGGGGGCTTCTGCTGGGTGAGCCCGGGGCGGCTCCCACACTGGCCCCGGGAACACTACTCAGCTCTCACGCTCTGCACAGTGCCCCGCTCCCAGACTCCAGCGCGCACTGAGATCCTTACGGGGCTTCCAGACCTGACGGGGGTCCACTCTCCACCCCGAGACGCCGATCGCACAGGCTGGGGACAAAGTTGGGCGTCGGGAGTCTGAAAAGCTGCTCAGGTGACTCCAGGGTGCAGCCAAGTTTGCCAACGGCTGCAAACGAGGCAAAGTCACCTCTCAACGGCCCCCTTCCTCCGCCACACCCGGTGCAACGGGAAAGTGAATTACTCGTTGCACTTGGCGAGAGACGGCAGTACAGCTCTCGTGCACACCTTTCTGTCCAGGTGGCTGGGGTGTGGCCCCGCGGGGGCACTCTGGGGCGCACACGGCCGGTGGCTGGGGGACAAGCGCGGCGGGCCGAGCGCTCCAACGCCCAGCGCGAAGGGGAGCCCGGGCCGCGGTGGGGTGGGGTGGGGGCCGCGGTCACGGCTCCGCTGGGTCTCCGCCGCCTCCCCGCGGGGCCTCCTCGGGGCGCCGGCACCGGGCCCGGCCAGCACGCGGCCTCGGGGCCTGCTGCTCGGCTACGCGCGCGCGCGGGCCAGGCCTGCTCGGGGCCGCTGCGCCCCGCCTGCCGCACGAGTCCGCCCGCGCCCCGGCCCGCGCCGGGCCTCGGATTCCGCCCCCAGCGCTTCGCCCCCACACCGCTCCCCACGACCCCACCCCCAGCCGCGGCGCCCGCAGCCCCGCGCCCGCACCCCCCAGCCCCGCAGCCCCGCGCCCCGCCCCCACGGCCAGGCGGCGCGGCCATGGCGCTGGGCGGGGGCTGCACCCACCTGCATGGGCGGCATTCCCTCGGCCATTTCCCCGCGCAGCGCCGGCTCCTGGTGGCACACCTCGTCCGGGGGCAGAGCCTGGGCCCAGCTCCAGCTCCCGCTGTCCAGCCCCAGGCCCTGGATGCCCAGCTGCTGAGGCTGCGGCCGTGTTGACACAAACTGCATCCTGGGAGTGCTGTTCCCCGCTCGGGCCGGCCAGGGAGAAGAACGTTTTCCAGGCGCCTTCCCCCTCGCCGGGGCCGGACAGCTCCATCTACAGCCCGTAGGAGCAAACAGTCCCCTTCGGCGGCGCTCCCCGCCCCTGCGCAGCCAGCTCGCCAGCCAATGGTCTCCGAGCTCCTGCCCGCCTGCGGGGACGGCGAGGGGCCACTGGGGGGGGGGGGGGGCGGGGCCGCTCCCACCGTCACCCCCAAAGTGGCCCTAGGAGGATCTGCTCCTGAGAGCCCTCCGTGTGGGACGGCCTGCCCTAAAGTCCCAAACAATGCCAGGTCCTGATTCCTGTTAATTCTGCAAATATGTATTGGGTATCCCAGAGGAAAATGGTGACTGACCCTTTTGAAATTTTTGCAATACTAATCCCGGCCTTTGCCCTTCCCTCCTGCCTTTGCAGGCTTTACCTCCCACTCTCCCTCCCCAGTCCAAATTTACTGGGACCAATTCCAGGCCTTTGCATTGGTCTGGATGATACAGAAGGGATCTGGGCTAATGTGTCAGAAGAGGGTGGAACTCTCCCTCCCAAGTAAGGCGCAGGGCATTTTAACAGCAGGCTCTGCCGAAACCTTTAAATGTAGGTCAACATCACTTTGAAACATCAAGCCAAATCAGAGGAGGAACCAGGGGAAGGCCCAGGTAGGCCGCTGGAGAAGAGAGGGTGAGGGCGGGAAATTTACCTGTTCGTTCCATAAATATTTATTGAGCAGCTACTACGCCCCAGGTACAGCTTAGGCAGAGGTGGGCTTTGCATTTGCATATACCTGAGTTTAACTTCCCAAATCACAGCTCTCTAGCTGTGACTGTGAGCAATTTCACTTCTCTGCGCTTCCCTCAGTCTCTTCAAATAAAAATGAAGCAAATAATGTCTACTTTGCAGCTGTACAGTCAAATGAGGTGAGATCAGTGCTTAGCCCATAACAGGCACCCAGCAAGGGTAGTTACCCCCCAGAGATAAGTTTTACAATCATCCTTAAAATTGTGGCTTCTCTGTTTTCCTGAATTACTGGTTCCTATCTTTTTAAGACAGAGATCTCCAGAGCTACTTACTGCCCTGTGTAGAGGCAGACCTACCACACAATCACCTCAGGCGGGTACCCTTTTGTCACACTGCACTTAGTAAAATAAAGGGCATTACCCGCCCAAGTGAGACGTGTGCTTAGAGCATCATATTCAGAACAATTACCAGGTGCTTTCTCTGTCAGGCATCCGGATGCAGAATGAGTATCTTGTGGACCCTCTTATCCTCAAGCAGTTTACAGGCTTGTGAAGGTTATGTTCCTAGAAGTCCGTGATCGCCTCCCCTCCATTCCCTGGCCACAGGCTGTGCCTTGATTGTAAAAACCATGTCCACTATTGTCGGGGGAACCAGACAAGCAGAGTCTGAAAAGTTCCAGGTAAATTCATTTCCACGAGTGAGACACATTTCAGAGTGCATATTCTGACCTACCAATCGACAATCATTTTCTCGCTTTCCTAAAGGTGGGAAAGAGAGGCTGGATTAGCCCCAATGGTTTAAGTCATCTTTTCAGTAAAAAGCAGTTAAAACTTCTCCCCTCAAGCATTAAACTAGTTATAACACTACTTATAACTGACTTACACAGTAAGTCACCATCACAGGACATCCACTGCGTGTTTTTCCTTCACGGAGGGCGGATTTTCACGAAGCCAGCCACACCCGAAACCCCTGCAGTCAGAGTGGCCGCCCAGGGCCAGAGGTTGCGTTCATTGCCATGACATACACAAAGCGACTCAAATCCAACAGAAGTTAAGTGCATGGGTTTCGCTGTACTAGAGCGGTTCTATAACAGCCATGCCTAGCGACTCAGGCCACAAAAAAAGTGGCTGCAGCAGGGGGGACGTGAAGCAGGGGGGATCAGGGGACATCTCCCAGAAGGAAAACAAGAAGGGCGTGAGGAAGGGGATCCTGTAGCTGCACTGGCCCACGGACCCTCTGTTGAGTACTCCAGTGACCAATGGACTGGCAGGGCTGGGAGCTGGGCTAGGATGGGAGAGATCCTGTCCTAGGAGAGCTGTCAGGTCACTAGGCTTGTTCCTCTGAATCACTGGGTAACTGTGAGGCAGTTGTCTAAATTACTGAGGAGCAGAGTCAGCGCCCCTGGGCAACATGGATCATAAAATGTCAAGTGTCAGTGTTAATGAGCATCTCTCAGAGGGGAAGGACCCAGGACTGGCCCATCCATCTCTCAGGTGGGAGCTGCTTTTCATCTCCTCACTAGGATTCTAGAGCTAGTGCTCTAGACAGGGAATTCGAAGTGATAGATGCTGAACCAGAGCATGTGGGAGAGGCCAAAGGAGAGGGGATACATAAATTCCTGAAGGTTTATGTGTCGTGATGGCTAATTTTGTGCATCAATTTGACTGGGCCAATGATGACCAGATAGATGGTAAAACACTTTTCTGGGTGTGCCCGTGAGGGTGTTTCCTGAAGAAATTAGCATTTGAATCCAAAGACCAGAGAAGATGCGCTCACAAAAGCGACCTCCGATCCGTTGAGGGCCTGAGTAGAAAAAGGCAGAGGGGATGCAGATTAGCTGAAACATCCATCTCCTCCTGCCTCTGGACATTCGCTGTCCTGGTTCTTGGGCCTTTGGACTCAGAATGAATTCCACCACTGGCTTGCCCGGTTCCCCAGCCTGCAAATGGCAGATCATGGAACTTCTTGACCTCCATAATTACAAGAGCTAATTCCTAGAATAAATGTCAACTCATAGGCGGCTGCATATCCTTTTAGTTCCGTTTCTCTGGAGAACCCCAATACACGTGTCCGTCATTATCTAAGTCTTCCTGCTGCTCCCGAGCACTCCAAGCCCCACCGACAGCTCCAAGCTTCATTTGAGAAAGGAAACCTCCAGATTCACGCAGCTAAGTGAACAGTGTAACCGGATTTGCACTGCTGTCTTGCTGTCTCCCCAGGCCTAATTTAACAAGCAGGCTTAGTGACAACAGTGTAATCCATGGGAAGGGAAAAGGAGAGCAGCTTCAGCTCCCCTCACTCACTGACATATCTGTGATTACAACTTGCTATCTTCACTTGAGGATCTAGTTATGCCAACCTCCAAAGTAAGGGGAACCTGTAGGCGTCCAAGTCATCAGCATCCTAAGCGTGATTAAGAGTCAGAGGCAGGGCTTATGGAGGGGAGGGTACTATTTAGACAAGGGAGAAAGTGTTGATGTGGGGATCACAGTAAAATATTTTGTATCACACAGTTTTTAGGTCTGCTTGCTCTCACTGATGAGTTTTCAACATGCTTGCCTTTTCAGATCCGCCTTTTACCAACATTTTTTATTCAAACTTAAGTGTGCCCGTGCACGTGCACGTACACACACTTTTTCCCTCTTTCTCACTAACTTCTGAAAATTCCTGCTTTTCAGAAAGTTTAGAGAAAATACTTTTTCCCTCCTGAGTTTATTCTCAGTCTACTTCCAATAGGCATTTCATCACCTTTTTTTTTTTACAAGTCTTGACACAGTAGAGTGAAGTTTGTTGGCTTTTCTTCGGTTCTTAATGACTGTGTGGTACTTTGCTCCGTTGTAATAAACATGTAATTGTTCGGGTGACTAAGTGAGTTAGCTGCTCAAGGGTTCTATCCCAATGTTACCTAGGGCTTAGAAACCCTGCATAGGCAGGACACAGGTTTCATGTTGGGAATTAACAACTGTAGTATGTTCTCTTGAATCTTCTCATGGTTATCTCTTCAATTTTTGAGTGTGGATTTGATTACTAAAAATGGCCAAAATTCATTCAAAATCAAGTCTGGAGCACATACGGAATAATACTGGTTTTTCTAAATGCAACAAAAAGGGTGTGAAACCACGCGTTATTGTTAAATCTGAGCTGGTAATGACATCACCATGGTCCTTCTTCATTCTTCAGCAATCTGCTAGCGTCACCACAACAGAAGGGTACAGCGCAGGCCCCCGGACAGTTCCCGGTTTCCGGTTCCCGTGTATGCTCATGTGGGATCCCACCGGTGTTTCATAGACCAGGTCTCCGGACAGCGCGAGCAGTGGGCACGGCTGAAGTGAATGCTGCTTTTCCCATGACCTCCAGAGGTCCTAACCTAACTATAGAGATCAGTCAGAACTTTTTCCACAGCAATTCTCATAGCCTGATCTCCTACTAAATTACAACGTCCCAAACTGGATTCATCTGCCCTTTATTAATCTGCAGCCCACAGCCCCCCACAGTCCACAGCCTCCAGTAAACCTGCTAACTGGTCATTTCCAGTCCAAGAACTCACTTCTCTTTCTATGATCTTCTCAACTTGCAGGCACATTAGAATCATGTGGGGCAACTCAAACAAAACACTCGGGCTCTGTCCCAGGCAAATTAGATCCTGCCAGGGTGGGCCCTGGTGTAAGTATTTTTCTTTAAGTTCCCCGATGATTCTAATGTCCAGCCAAGAACAAACCAGTGTAACAGTCTCCCTCCTCATGTGCTTGTCCCAGCCTCACGGGATCACCACGCAGAAATGAACATCCTGAATTATCACTTAGTGATAATTAAATGTAGGATTGATTTAATTACCATCCATTGTTTTTATCCTGCTGTTTACTCGGTGAGGTTGGCTTGTAGATACTGTTTTTCTTACACAATTTTTTAAAACTATAATTCAAAGCCAAGAACTGACTTATATGTACTGCTTTCTGCTTGCTTAACCCAATCTCTCCAGTAACATGCCTGCCTTCCTAACTCGTTATAATTCCTCAGGTACATAAAACCAGTGATCTTGCATAAGTTGCTGGTACAAGTCAACACATTAAATAGGGCAACCCAACATTTTCTGGAGCACTTAGTTTTCAATCTCTCCTCACACGTACTGCTTTTGTTCCATTGCTCCCCAGACCGTAATCTCGGGCTAGCTTCTCCCCAGCACAGGGGAGCAAACTGGGAGTAAAGGAACGATTACTGCCCAGTCTTGAATGAAGAGAAGCATCTGAAACATCCACGAAATTGTT